ATGAAAAACACATCTAGCCCCCTTAAGTAGCTTAGAAGAGTTCAGGCACACATGAAAGTTCTGTAACTTATAAAGTGAAACAAGACAAGTATTTTGCTAGGCTAATCATTCATATAAGCGAACTGGTTCCATAGTTACAGTTAAAAAACATGTCTCACTGAACAAAACAGCTAAATTAATTAGATTCCCTACGTTGGCATGTGAAAACTCTCTGTAATAAGTAAACCCTTAACCATATCACATAAAAACGAAGTAGAGTAATATTAATGCACCCTGAATTAAGTTCTATATAAAACTAAGCATGTAGGAACATTATTTAGAGCTACACATTAGTTTTAACTGGTGATTTGTGTTTGAAAACAAATAATTAAACTATGAAAAAACACATCTAGCCCCCTTAAGTAGCTAAGGAGAGTTCAGGCACACATGAAACTTCTGAAACTTATAAAGTGAAAAGAGACAAGTATTTTGCTGGGCTAATCATTGATATAAGCTAACTGGTTCCATAGTTACAGTTAAAAAACATGTCTCACTGAACAAAACAGCTAAATTAATTAGATTCCCTACGTTGCCAGGTGAAAACTCTCTGTAACAAGTAAACCCCTTAACCATATCACATAAAAATGAAGTAGAGTAATATTAATGCACCCTGAATTAAGTTCTATATAAAACTAAGCATGTAGGAACATTATTTAAAGCTACACATTAGTTTAAAGTAGTGTTTTGTGTTTGAAAATAAATAATTAAACTATGAAAAAACACATCAAGCCCCCTTAAGTAAGTAATAACAGTTCAGGCACGCATCAAACTGCTGTAACTTATAAAGTGAAAAGAGACAAGTATTTTGCTGGGCTAATCATTGATATAAGTTAACTGGTTCCATAGTTACAGTTAAAAAAATTGTCTCACTGAACAAAACAGCTAAATTAATTAGATTCCCTACGTTGGCATGTGAAAACTCTCTGTAACAAGTAAACCCCTTAACCATATCACATAAAAATGAAGTAGAGTAATATAAATGCACCCTGAATTAAGTTCTATATAAAACGAAGCATGTAAGAACATTATTTAGAGCTACACATTAGTTTAAACTGGTGATTTGTGTTTGAAAACAAATAATTAAACTATGAAAAACACATCTAGCCCCCTTAAGTAGCTAAGAAGAATTCAGGCGCACATGAAACTTCTGTAACTTATAAAGTGAAATAAGACAAGTATTTTGCTGGGCTAATCATTGATATAAGCCAACTGGTTCCATAGTTACAGTTAAAAAACCTGTCTCACTGAACAAAACAGCTAAATTAATTAGATTCCCTAAGTTGGCATGTGAAAACTCTCTGTAATGAGTAAACCTCTTAACCATATCACATAAAAATGAAGTAGAGTAATACTAATGCACCCTGAATTAAGTTCTATATAAAACTAAGCATGTAGGAACATTATTTAGAGCTACACATTAGTTTAAAGTAGTGTTTTGTGTTTGAAAACAAATAATTAAACTATGAAAAAACACATCAAGCCCCCTTAAGTAAGTAATAACAGTTCAGGCACGCATGAAACTGCAGTATCTTATAAAGAGAAAAGAGACAAGTATTTTGCTGGGCTAATCATTGATATAAGCCAACTGGTGCCATAGTTACAGTTAAAAAACATGTCTCACTGAACGAAACAGCTAACTTAATTATACTCACTAAGTTACCAGGTGAAAACTTCCTGTAACAAGTAAACCACTTACCCAAATCACATAAAAATTACGTACAGTAATATTAATGCACCCTGAATTAAGTTCTAAGTAAAACTAAACACATAACAACATTATTTAGAACTACACATTTGTTTAAAGTAGTGTTTTGTGATTGAAAACAAATAATTAAACTATGAAAAACACATCTAGCGCCCTTAAGTAGCTAAGAAGAGTTCAGGCACACATGAAACTTCTGTAACTTATAAAGTGAAACAAGACAAGTATTTTGCTAGGCTAATGATTCATATAAGCGAACTGGTTCCATAGTTACAGTTAAAAAACATGTCTCACTGAACAAAACAGCTAAATTAATTAGATTCCCTACGTTGCCAGATGAAAACTCTCTGTAACAAGTAAACCCCTTAACCATATCACATAAAAATGAAGTAGAGTAATATAAATGCACCAGTTATCCAGGTGATCTCGCGCTCATATTTCAGCCAATCAGCGCTCAGAAAGTTTGTGAAAATAGAAATCCATCTAGCAGTGTTTAATCGATTATATCTTTTGTTATCTTTAATGGAACCATTCGAAATTTTGTGATTATGTTTAGTTATAAGAACTATAGCTCTGATATAAATTTGGAACCTAAATAGAGTATATTTCACGAGATATTAAGTTGTTTCAACCGAGAAATGGATTTTTATATGACAACTAGTCCTAGTCCTTTCCCGCCATTTCAGATCACCTGGATATTATATATTATATATATATATAATATATTTGTCAATGAGTGTTTTCCGGATTCAAAATTGTTTTTTATTGAGCTTTCGAGTCTTCTTCAGAATGTTTAAATTATTTACATGTGTGTAGCTGTATATATATATATATATATATATATATATATATATATATATATATATATATATATATATATATATATGTGTATGTGTATGTGTATGTGTATGTGTATGTGTATGTGTATGTGTATGTGTATGTGTATGTCTATGTGTATGTCTATGTGTATGTCTATGTGTATGTCTATGTGTATGTCTATGTCTATGTCTATGTCTATGTCTATGTCTATGTCTATGTCTATGTTTATATATATATATATATTTAAGTTTGGCGCTGTTCTTTAAGGCTTTGTATACGTTGAGAGCGTCTAATTGGTGGGTTTGAAGTTGTTTTGATATGAGTGGTAGTTGAGGGATGCGTTGTCATGGTTGACTGCATTTCGTTATATTATATATATATATATATATATATATATATATATATATATATATACGATGATGAATGAAAGAGTAAAATGTAGTGGTGTATACGATGATGAATGAAAGAGTAAAATGTAGTGGTGTGTTAGAATCGTACTTTAGCGACCATAAGCCTATTTTCGTATAAATTCTATGATATTTTAGTTGCTAATAACTACGGATGGCATAAATATTTATTTAGAATACTGTATAAACTCACTAACAGCTTAACATCCGGAATACTGCATACACTGAAAAATAAATTTTCAAAATCATTGTTTAATAAACATAATAGAATCACATTAGGCATGATCGAGAAATTTTCACACAACTTTAAACATATATCTACATCAATGTATTATAGCTACTATACACATGCAAAGATGCCTTCTATAGTAACAAGTTATTGAAACCATGGAAATTATTATCGACTGATATCATATAATAAGTGAGAACATGCATGTCTTCATATCTTTGTCAGCTCTTTGTCGTTTTCAGAGATTGACGGTTAAGCAATAAATATTTGTATCCTTGTCAGCGGTGGTGCATGTGACTGGCGTTAATTTCTTTTAAACTTTTTGGTTTAATTTCTTCTTTTTATCTCGCTGAAATATGTTTTGTGGTTTGTTTTCCTGCAACTTTATATCATCAGGATGACTGACATTTGACGCTTTCATCCAGTGGTATGTCAAGTGTATTTGTGCCATTAATTTTAATCTGCAATTAAATTAAGCAGTTACTTAGTTTACTTAGTTAGATCAACTGGGACAATAATTGAAAACAGTTTCAATTTTTCTTGCAGTATGCCAACACCAACATATAGCTATAGGAATATTTTTAGTTCTATAGAAATTTTCCCACAAATGGTTTGATGTTATCATAGACTTTAGGTATAATAATGTTCAATAATAATGTTTTCATTGATATTGAATCAATAATCTTATCGAATATGATAGATGATCATGATATCTCTGAGATAATGAAACTATTTAAGAATGAGTTTAATGCCAACTACATAAATGAGATTTAAAGATAACTTACGAAGTCTTGACTGAATCGTTGACCGTTAGGAAACTTCGTCCATAGGGACATATAGCCTCTGAATTAGAGGGGGCTTCAGTGTATGCAGTATTCCGGATGTTAAGCTGTTAGTGAGTTTATACAGTATTCTAAATAAATATTTATGCCATCCGTAGTTATTAGCAACTAAAATATCATAGAATTTATACGAAAATAGGCTTATGGTCGCTAAAGTACGATTCTAACACACCACTACATTTTACTCTTTCAGGTATATTAGTATATATGTGATCAATTTGTGTTTTGTAATCAGTTGTTATCTCGTTAATAAGTTGCGTGTATTGTTTTTCTTCGATTAGATACTTCGTAAGATACTTCGTTGTCTGATGAATTTTCACATTTATCAATATTAACATTAAAATCACCAAGTATGATGACAGGAGAGTTTGGATCATTTATATATAAAAGGTGCAAATGTTTCAAAGCATCTACGAGCTTTGAAAGTTTTACTTTTGATTTGGAGCAATAAATTCCGACGACGTGTAAATTATTTATTGGATGGTTCACTTTAAGTAACGTCATTTCTACATTATTATGTTTGTACCTTGAAGGTTCTGATATCAGTTGTATAGAATCTTTTACGTAAAAAGCAGTTCCGTAAGGTGTTCTAGTACTACCTGAGAAATCATTTCTGAATAGATAAAAACCTGGAATATGATATAGTTCGTTGTCGTCATTGTTACATAGAGCAGTTTCTACAAAGATATTGATATCAGCTGCTTGTACATTATAATCACTCGCAACGTCAGCAATATGAAGATGCAATGACCTAACATTTTAGAATAATACCTTAAATGTCTCAGTAGAATCTTTATAGAGAAATGGAAGATGGCTTTTAAGTACAGAATTTTCTCTTAGTCTTGTCATTTCCTCTTGTACCTTTTTGCTCACTGCTATCTTATTTTCGTTTAAATTAAGAATATGCATTCCCGAAATGCTTCTAAGTCTGCTAAGTGCAACGTAATGCATGTGCTCTCGCTTTAACGATGGAAGGTCAACAAATGGTCAACTAATGTATCTCCTTGACAACGGTGAATAGTCTTCGCTGCAGATGGTCGTAAAGGAAACTGTCTGCGAAGAACTTGTATTTTATTTTTAGTGAACTGTCTTTTTATCTCAAGAATTGAAACCCACATTTTTTCTATACTCTGATTGTAAAGATAAGAGTATTCTCTGCGATAATCATTCCCAATATTTTGTTCTTGAAATAGAACCCAGATAATACTTGGTCTGGACGAACCTTCCACGCGGAAATCGATTTTCTTGATGATACATTCAGCACCATTAGTCATACCATCTACAACTGATACGTTTGTTGTGAGATCATACTTAGCTTCTTTAAGAATTGAACACACTGAGTACAGGCCCATAGTTTTCGAAGGATCTTTGGGATTTGCTTTTTGATTCTTTCCTTTATGTCGTCAGATAAATCTCCAAGCACAATGTCTATTGCTTTAATGTTCACTTTCTCGTTTAAAGATTTTTGAAAAACGTCGTGATTATGTTGATCAACTGCCATATTAGTACTAAATAAATGAGTTGACGATATTGGGTAATTATTTAAAACTCTTTCTTTTAAAACTTTAAGATCAGCTTCAGTATGATTTCCTTCTCTGATGCGATTCAAGATTTCAGCAAACTCTTTGTCTTCTCTTTGCCTCATAACTTCTGATAATTCAAACATTTGAAAGTATTTTTGCCAGAGATTTGTTGCTAATGCAGCATAACCGTCTTTTGAATTCTCAAATATCCAATTATCAAATACAGGTTTCAGTTGAAACAAGTCGCCAACGGCTATTATACTAAGACCGCCAAATGGTTCTTTTGTCCCCATGATTTGTTGCAATCGTAAGTCAACAAAAGTAAACATAGCACTGCCAACCATAGATATTTCGTCAATAAAGATAACTTGCATTCTGTGTAACTGAGATCTTATTGTATTCAACCGGTCTCTATCTAGTATACAATAATCCTCTGTTCGCTGGAATTTTGAAAGCGGAGTGAAGGGTATTTCCTCTTATGTTAAAAGCAGCTTTGCCAGTTGGGGCAACTTTTACAACACTGACATCATCAGGATCATTCTGAGGTCGAGAATTTAAGTATCTTATAAGAGCTTCATACAAACTGTTAGTGACAGTACTTTTACCTATACCAGCACCTCCGCTTAAAAACAATCTCATTGGAGGCTTATCAGTCTTGATAGAGTTTAGTACATGGTAAAAAAACTCTTTTTGTTCAACATTAAGTGACTGGACGAGTCTTCTAAAATCCACATCATTCAGCCTTTTGACAACAAGTTCTTCATTATCGTTTGTTCTGGGATATATACCGATATCAATGATCAAGTCATATTGGGCATGTTGTTTATCTTTTCCAGGATCGAAGCAACCGAATAATTCACTTTCTTTCGGGCCAATTTAAGTATTGCTGTTTCGATAAATTTAACTTTTTGAGAAACTCGTCAAAGGACATGGTTTCATCAGCTTTAATAGAGTTTAATAAAGTATGTATTCGTTCTAAAGCTTTCTTTAGTATATCCAAGATTTTTTCGTCTAGATCAGTTTCATATAAAGGCTCTAAAATCATAGTTCTTGGCATCGGTGGCAACGGAAAATTAAATCTGCAGACCGCTTTTCCTCTTTTTTTGCATGTTTTTGAATGTTTATGCCTCTGCAGATTAACAAGTTGAGATAAACCATCTTTCTCAGCTTTACAAGAAAGGTATCTATCTACAAATTTGACAATATCTTCATCAGAGTCTGCCATATTCAGGTGCGTTTTTGATCCAGAACAATCCAGGGGCGGATCTGGCCGAAAATCTGACTGTATCACCGACTAGGTCTCGCATAACTAGGGGGGTCTGGGGGCATGCCCCCTGCGGAAAATTTTTGAAACTGGAAGCCCGGAGATGCCATTTCCCGCGATTTGAGCGTACTTTTCCTGATATATTTTTTACCAAAATTTTCGGCTTTTCTCAGCAAAGAAGATTTTTCCCGGCTTTAAATTGCGTACTTAAAAAAATTATTAGGATTATGATTATATATTCTTATCAAATTGATAAATTTGGAAGTTGCAGTAAATTAAAGGTAGTTCTACTCCCAGCAGTCATTGACTAGACTCATATAATGTTAAGGTTATTCATGGGGCATAGTGGTATCATATTTCCCATTGTGAGCATTTCATATTTCACAGTCAAAATTTTAGAGCAAACTCCGTTTCATAAACTCATAGCTATTAAAACTAGATGGACAGAGCTTAGGAAATGATTCAGGCAAATTTCTAACGACAGTAACGACTTTAGTACTATTTCTATTAGCATACCAGCCTTAAGAAAATATTAATATTAGCGGCTTTAACATAAACACGTGCATTGATCCTAACGCGATGCTATTATTGTATACATATCAAACATGAATATTAATTTAACCATGCAGATTTTCCACTCATAATGCAAATTAACTTCACAAAATCATCACAACGAATAAGATATTAATATATTCACAAAGCTTTGTAATTACCTGACGGGATAATGGTTATAAGAGCGCAATCGCTGGCTTTCGGGTAACTGTAGCTCCGCATATTGACATGTGTATATCTCGCGATTTATTCCCGTCTTTGAGCAGCAGAAAAATCATTCTCGCATGAATTTTGATATTCGTTAGCTCTTCGACCTTCTCAGCCAAAGAATTTCGCTTATTGAGCGCACAGTTCAACTTGTCTAACAGAGCGCGTGATGCCACGATAGCCAGATAAACTGCGTATAGACTTAGTTTGCTTGTAATGAGACTTGCGCCTTTTGCGTGGAATGTTGGACATCGTTCAAATCGAGCAATGTAGCTGACTCAGCATCTGACTGTATCAAACTGTATCAGTGATCGCGATTCTGATTGGTTTGATACAGTCGAACGGTCTAAATATAGCTTATACCCCCCCGCTGACTGTATCAAAAATGTTCTATTTTTATCTCAACTGCTACGACGATGTCTTTCTGAGTTATGTTATTGAGTTAAACGAAGAAGCAAACTCCCAAAAAGCGGGCTTGTTAGCAGGTAGAAGTGAACCGTAGGCTGGCGAATGCGAAATGCCAAAAATTGCTCCGTAACCGCTTCTCAGCTTGTGAAGCGAAAAAGCGATTTCTAAATGATGTAAAATGATGAAATAAAAGCATTTATAAATATTAATATAGGAATTCTTACAGTCAAAAGATATTATTTTCGGCAAAATCTGACTGTATTATTTGATACAGTTGATATAGTCTAGATCCGCCCCTGCAATCCATGGATATGTGGAGAACCTCTTTGCTGGAATTCAACACGATAGAAAAAATCAACAACCTCTCCGATTGGATGACATGAACTTTTAATAAAATTGTGAATAAATAATTGAACCATGTGGTCAAAATTCCGTGCACATGTTACTGGATCTTTTTGTATTAGCTCAGACTTCTTTTGCCAAGTCATTTTTGTAATATCATCGTCAGTATAGTTTTTTTTGTCAATTAAACGACCAAGGATTTTAATCAAATGGCTCCAACGCGTTTCAGCAGCTGAAAATGAACAGAACCATGTAGGTGTCCCAAGCTGACGAATCATTGCAAATAGATCTTTCTTACATCTTTCAAAGTATAGAGGAGAACCTCTTAAATTTCGTAAGACTCTAAATCCTTCATCTAAATTGATAAGTTTGTTAACAGAACTTTCCAATTTTAAATCCCCAGCTGTGTAAGTTTTACCTTTGGTTTTACATTTACGTAATGATAAACTTGCGCTGCCTTGAATTTGTCTGATTTGCAACTTTTTTAATTTAAAAAAAAATGTTCGGTACACACTGGGCAACCCTCCTATCTTGACTTCGAAGTTCCCATTTACAAATCGTACTATAGTGGACAGGGACAAGTCTTTCACTGTTATCAGCTTGTTTTTGGCCACAGTAAATTGTTGGGAAGGATAGAAATTCAGCATCTTTATTGCGTTCGACGAAGGAGAACGCTTCCTAATCGTGACGTCACGGCTGGATGCTATGTCCTTTTGAGATTTTTGGATGTAACATTTGCCTCGCTTTCGTGTATATGACGGATTTGCCTCGGTTTCGTGCTGCGTCTTAATTCCCATGTGCTCGTCTTGAGTTGATTTACATATATCGAAGACAAATTTCAGGATTGCTGTTTTCGGCTTTTATTGTGAAGGTAAGTGGAGTTTTGTTATTTTCTTTACATATGTCAGTGTTAAGTATGATTAAAGATACTTATCAAAGCATCAAGAATTTGTCTTGCAGTGTTTTATCGATTAGAAATCCAACATTTCAATTCGCTATCAAACCACATTCGTTTTGTCAGCTAGAATTCGCAGATTTAACTTCGCTCTGCTTAACAAAGGGTTTGGATGCAAGTCCATTAATTTCGTCATTGAATGCTGAAGAAGTGAATGTTGTCAAGCATTTGAATATGCAGAGTTGTGTTGAAAAATGTGAGTTTCAAAGCATGAAAAATAAATACACAAATCCCAGTTATTTGGCTGGGTTGCCTTTGGGCAAAAAGACCATGTCTATAGTAGGTGGTCACACAAATAAATACACAAATCCCAGTTATTTGGCTGGGTTGCCTTTGGGCAAAAAGACCATGTCTATAGTAGGTGGTCACACAAATAAATACACAAATCCCAGTTATTTGGCTGGGTTGCCTTTAGGCAAAAAGACCATGTCTATAGTAGGTGGTCACACAAATAAATACACAAATCCCAGTTATTTGGCTGGGTTGCTTTTGGACAAAAAGACCATGTCTATAGTAGGTGGTCACACAAATAAATACACAAATCCCAGTTATTTGGCTGGGTTGCCTTTGGGCAAAAGACCATGTCTATAGTAGGTGGTCACACAAATAAATACACAAATCCCAGTTATTTGGCTGGGTTGCCTTTAGGCAAAAAGACCATGTCTATAGTAGGTGGTCACACAGATAGATACACAAATCTCAGTTATTTTGTTGAAACAATGAATTTATTTAGTAATCATAGACAAGCAGAGCGAAGTTATCTTTTGCCATGTTTTATTACCAAAAATGACATGTGTGCTACCAATGAAATTTCTGATGCTTTGATAAATTGTGTTGGAACCTTTGTGAGAGAAATATATTATAATAGATTATGTGGTGGTATGTATTCAGATGACAGCAATTTTCCCTGGAATGTTTTGGAAAATAAGTTAGCTTTAATAGGTCGAGTGCCATATGATTGTGGAAGTTCACCTGGTGATTGCTTTTTTGCATCCTTACCACATGATCTTTATAAAAATCCTGATTGCCATCTTGATATTCGTAGTGCAGGCATTACACATTTGGTGCATAATCCTGAGTTATATATTGAAAGTCTTGCAAATATTTCATGGGAGAATTATATTGAAGATATGTCACAACCTGGAACATGGTGTGATAATATCATTATTCAAGCAGTAGCAAATGCTTTAAGCTGCACTATTCATATTACTGATTCCAGTCCAAATGCTAATGCAACCATTGTAAACCCAATTAGTGTACACCAGAGGCAAAAAATTGTATTCCTAGGTTATATAACTGGTGTACATTATGTTCCGACTTTACCAAATGAAAGTGTGGGTAATCAGACAGATAGTAAAAGAAAGGAAATGCTGGAGAAAAGGAGAGTTTATGCCAAAAAAAGGCGATCTGATGAAACTGCGAATGCAAAAAAGATTCGGCTTGACAAAGTGGCAGAGCAAAAAAAATCAAAAAAGGCTAGTGAAACTGCACAGAGTGTCACGCAGTCTAAATATCTAAATGAATTTGATGCTGTGAAAAATGAACCACTGCATGATCAATGTTGGGCAAAATGTAACATGAAACAATTTCATAAATCTGTACAATATTTTATATTCCAATGCACAGTTTGCAAAGAGGCATGGCCAATTACCACTAAACCAAAATCCCTTGGTAGCTATTTGTGCTCTCGCTGTTCTAGGGATAAAAACACACCAAAAAAATTTTCTGATGCTAACAGCATGATTCCAGGACCAGTACCAGTTGAGTTGCAAGGCCTAACTCAAACTGAAGAAATGCTCATTGCTCGAGCTCTGCCTATAATGAGGGTTTATATCAAACCAGGTGGGCAAATGGGGTATTCAGGGCATTGCATTAATTTGCCTCAACATATCGAAGAGATCGCATCATTTCTGCCAAGATATCCCAGGGACTTGTCTATTATTGTAGTTAAGATGAAGGGTAAAGATAACACATTCAAAGATGTTAAAGTCAGAAGAGAGAAAGTGCATCATGCATTGCTATGGCTTTTGAGAAATAATCCGCATTATACTAATGTGACTATCAATCAACATGCTTTGGAATCACTCCCTATTGATGGTGTTCCATCTGATATAATGACAGTTGCGTCTGAAAATGATATTTTATCAGATGAAAATATTTTGCCTCACTTAGGCCCTTGCAGTGATAACAATGAAGACAAAGTCTACGATGAGACAACAGAAACGAGTAGCTTTATGCCAGCCTGTGAAAAACAGAAAACAGAAGTAGATGCAATAAAAAATCAATTATTTCCAAATGAGCCAATGAACTGGCCCACTATTGATAACTTACCTATAAATGAATATCAGACATCATTTCTGGCTACATTGGCATTTCCTACATTATTTCGCACAGGTAAAGGGGATCCAACAAATCCATCACTTTTAAAGGACATTCCCTTAGGTGAGAAAGTAAAGCATCTTGTTAAATTTGCTGAGCAGATTAATGGCAAATGGATTTTTTGATTTGCCAGTCATCCTAGGTTTTGTTATTGGGCATTTAATATGATACAGAGAAAACGAACCTTGCAACAAAGTGGAATGTTTCTTAAGCAAAATCCAGGTGAAGCTCACTTGACAATAGATGAACTGCGTGAAATGGCAGCAGGTGATAACAGTAATGCATTTATTTCTAAGATATCTCGATATGTAGCAAATATTGCTGGCTCTAATGCTTACTGGTATAAGGTGAGAGAAGATCTCAAAGCCATTGTAACAACTGTTGGGACTCCTACTTTTTTTTTTGCATTTTCTTCGGCTGATATGCATTGGCCAGAGTTGCATAGGCTATTAGGAAATAAAAATGGCACTAGTGAAGAAAGGCGACAAGCTGTGATAAAAAATCCACATTTAGTAGATTGGTTTTTTACACAAAGAGTAGAAAGCTTTATCAAACACTGGTTGTACAAAACACTTGATGCAAAGTGGCACTAGTATAGATTTGAATACCAGGCAAGAGGAAGCATACATTACCATGGCATTGCTAAACTAAACAACGACCCTGGTTTGTGTGATCTCACCAAGACTGCCCTTAAAGGATTCCTAGCTCAAAAATACAAAGATGAGAACAAAGATAAAAATACATCTGAGCTTGACAATGATATTATTATTGGTAACAAAGCTGCTGAAACAGCTTGTAAGTATGTTGCAGTGGCGTAGCCAGAACGATAATTGGGGGGGCCAATATTCATATATTCGTGATACGCAGGATTAATTTCTTTTCAAATCAATTGTCTTTACAGTCTATTAACATGAATATATGAATATGGGCCCCCCCAATTATCGATGCTGGCTACGCCACTGGTATGTTGACTGGTTGCTTTCCACAGTTAATCCAAATCCACCAGACAATGCTTTATGGGTAAGACCAAGAATTCATCCATGTCAAAAGGATTATCAGGATGTTGCAGATTGTGATATGCATGATGATTTTTGTGATCTGTTAAATATGGTTCAGCGCCATACACGTTGTAGTACTAGCTATTGTCTAAGAAAAAAGACAACAGATTCTGAACCAAAATGTAGGTTCAATTTTCCAATGGATACATGCTCTAAAACAAGGTTAGACTTTGAAGAAGTTCATACTAAAGGTAATGAGCCACAATATAAGGCAAGAATTATTACCAGAAGAAATGATTCTCGGCTAAATAACAGCCAGCAGCTTCAACTACAAGGTTGGAGAGCCAATTGTGACATACAAGTAGTCATCGACCATTATGCTTGTGTTGAGTACCTCAATCAATCAATCAATCAAAACTTTATTTAAGCACGGTAAAATCTACAGTATAAAAAGTGGGCTATAATTATATACATTCATTAGATATTTAGGGACAAAATTACTAAATACAACACAATACAATACAATTTAAAATACAGATATATAAACTGATTTACAAGATTGCCGTGCGAGAGTCTGTTTTATAGGGAAAAAATGTTGTCAATCTCCCTTTTAAATTGGTTAAGAGAGCATAATGCTCGTACATTTTGAGGTAACTCATTCCACAACACCGCGCCACTATAACTAAAACTTCGTTTAGCATAATTTGTTCGCGGTTTTGGTACAAATAAAGCATTTTCAGAGTTTCTCAAATTGTATCCTGTGCTGTGGAATTCAAATAAATTACGGAGATAATTCGGTGTTAAATCGTTAAGAATTTTGAACATTATTACAGCCTTGTGTTTTTTCCGGCATGTCGAAAGATTGTCCCAACCTAGTTTAGTGAAAAGGTCGCTGGAACTTGCATCGTATCCAGATTTGGTAATTACCCTCGCTGCTCTATTTTGCAGTTTTTGCAATTTATCATTTAACGTGATATTTAAACCATCCCAAACTGAACTACAATAATCAAAATACGGTTGAATCAAAGCTCCGTAAATTTTGAGGGCAGTGCTTGTATCTATGAACTGGCGTATCCTTTTAAGAGCACCAATTGCCGACGCAACCTTTTTGGAAATGCCTTCAACGTGTCGCGCCCATACTAGGTGCTCATCAATTTGTAATCCTAATGATTTCGTATCTTTAACTCTCTTGATTATCTTCCCGTCAATTTCAATGTTTATTTGTTCATTATTGTGTATCATTAACCGTTGACGAGATCCAATTATCATAAATTCCGTTTTAGCGACATTTAGACTCAGTTTGTTAGCTATGAGCCATTGATTAAGATTTTTCAATTCAGAGTTAATTATTGATTCAAGCTCTGTTACAGATTTTGCCGCAATACTTATATTGGTATCATCAGCAAACATTCTCGGAGAGGCTCTTTCCAGACAATTAGGCAAATCGTTAATGTAAATTAAAAACAATAGTGGCCCCAAGTTGCTACCTTGAGGCACACCACAACTTATTTTAACAGCCTCAGATAATTCACCATTTACGCAACATCTTTGGCCACGGTTGCTTAGATATGATTCAAAGAGTTTGATGCCGCTTTGGTCAACACCATATATTCTTAACTTCCGTAAGAGAATGGTGTGATCAATGGTATCAAATGCTTTTTTGAGGTCGATAAAGACCACTCCATTGAGTAGGCCATTATCTATGTTGATTGACCATTTGTCCGTTGCTTCTAATAAGGCAGTTAATGTACTGTGCAATGATCGAAAACCGGATTGAATTTTGGATATCAAATTATTAGCATTTAAATACTCATATAGCTGATCAAAAATCAGTTTTTCAAAAATCTTAGCAACACATGAAATTACGGATATTGGTCGATAGTTGTCCATATCATCTTTTCTACCTTTCTTAAAAATCGGCGTAACTCTTGCTAACTTCCATTCCGTTGGGAATATGCCAGTAGTTATAATCTTATCAAATATTAGAGTTAATGATGGGGCAACGATTTCAGCTGCAAGTTTTAAAAGTTTGCAGGGTATTTTATCCAGACCTGATGCTTTCTTTTCGTTAATCGTTCTTAATTTACTACAAACTGTATTTATTGTGGGGGTGTCAATGAGAATGTGGTTTCAGTTGGCTCAATATAAACCTCCGGTTCCACAGCAGATGGTGGTATATCAGATGCTAAATTCTCACCTACTTTTGCAAAGTGAGAATTAAACATTTCGGCTATGTCCTTAGGCGCATTTATTGTTTCTTCGCCAATTGTAATATTAGATATGGTCTTATGACTAGAATTATTACGAGAGCTTAATTCATTAATAAGTTTCCAAGTTGACTTTGGATTGTTCTGGTTGGTCTCAAGGTTATCAGTAAAGTATTGACTTTTCACTTTTTTAATTTCATTATTCGTAGAGTTCCTTAATGATTTATATTGTTGCCAAATCAATGTGTCTCCAGTCATTTTTGCTTTCTTTTTCAAAAAATCTCTCTGGCGCATTTTTTGTTTTAATTGATTAGTTATCCAAGGGGATTTCTTTTTCCCAATTCTTTTTAATCTGAGTGGAGCATGTTTATCAATGCAATTAAGTAACATCCCTTTCCATCTTACCCACATTTCATTAGGTTCATTGCACAAATTTAATTCTAACCATTGCTGTTGTTTTAAATCTCCTATAAAGTTTCCTCTATGAAAATTTTTCATACTCCTTATTTCAACTAATCGCGCTTCCGCTTTCTTATAATGAACCTTATGTGTCATATAAACTAAAACATGATCACTTATGGAAAGATCAATTATACCTGAGTTTATGATCTTTGTTGGGGCATTTGTAACGCAAAGATCAATTAGCGTTGAGGAATATGGTGTAGTTCTAGTGGGTTCTTTAATTAGTTGTGTGAGGCCAAAAATTTCAAATATATCATTTAATTTATTAGCATTGGCTGATGTTGCTCCCGGCATAAGGTCCACATTTATGTCACCTAATAGAAAGTAGTCATGATTCGTCAAATCTACCTTCTGTATTATTTTCTCAAAATAATCAAAGTAATACGTTGGCAGATCTGGAGGTCGATACCAAGTGCTAATTAAAAGAGATTTAGACCGAGGCTTAGTTATTTCAACTGTTAAATATTCTAAATCGTCAGAGCTTAAATCATCGCAAATTTTGTAATTAAGGTTGCATCTTACATAGAAACAAACACCACCCCCATGTCTCCCATTTGTTCTCCTATCTTTCCTTACTATTTCATAGCCGGGTATATGGACTTCGTTATCTCCAATTAAAGAATCAAGCTTTGTTTCGTTAATTGAGATAACATCAATATCAGATTCTTTCATAAATATTCGAAATTCATCAATATGCGCAAAAAGGCTATTAATATTTAGTGAGGCCATAACTAGACCTTTGCCAAATGGTTTATAATTAATATTAGTACACTTACGATTTACACTCGGTAGCACCGATTCAGACTCCCGCACAGCAGATTGGTCGTCCACACTACCTATTATTGACGTGTTCGCCAGATCATTGTTATTTGTGGCATAAGTACTCTTTTCCGCGTTATATAACGATTTGTCTAACGATGAATTCTTTTCCTTGGCGTCTGTGGTATGATCATCCTCAGAAGCTCCCCCAGATGATGAAGTTCCTTCGGAAAATCCTCAACAGTTGGATGTGAAAGTCGCCGAAGAAATTTGATAAAATGGACAGCCAGGAGCGCTGATCCCTTTGTATTAAGGTGTAACTTAGAGCCATTGAGGCAGGATTCGTCTATGTTCTTATTTGCGATGAATGTATATCCTTTTTTCTTGCATAGATTGTATAGTAATTTATTGGTTTCATGAATCTTTGTTGCTACGTCAATATCTCCTCTCGATATTAGGCCAGATATTGCGATTCTGGCATCTTTAAACTTGTTTTGTACTGTGGAGCTTAGATGCTTAATATTGTCGCAGCATTCTTTACTCGAGTTCTGTATTAAGTTATTCGTTCCAGCGTGTATGATAACATCTGTGGGAGAGGAATGCACATGAGCTTTTTGGAATTCATTTGCTATTTCCTCAGCTCTTTTCCCAGCTCTTTTTCGAACTGAGCTTTTTGATATCTTGTGAGGATTAATATCCTTGATCATTGAATCTCCAATTAGTAGGATGTTTCGCTTGGATTTTGTGCCTTTATAAGTTGTGTTAGTGTTCTCATTCCGATGACCAGTTTCCAAGGTTTTGTCTAAAGATACTTTGCTCACAGAATCATTGGCATCGTCTTCTTGATCACTGATGCTGAGGACTTCGTACCGATTCTTTGACTCAAAAACGCTTTCAGATGTATCTTTACTAGAGCTCTTTACTTTGGTATAATCCCGTTTCTGTGTTTTGCTTCCATCATTGAGGTCTTCTTGTAGGGATCTTGCAGCTGCTCTTAAACTATCGTTCTCAGTTTCCAGTTCTTTAATTCTCTCCCTCTCCGCCGGTAGAACTTTTTCACGTTGGACCAGCTTCAGTGAGGTCATCAGACTCGATTTCTCTTCCTGGAGGTCCAGTACTTTAGCTCTAGCTTCGGACAGAGATTGGAACAAGTTCCTATTTTTCTCTTTTAGCTCGTTATTTTCCCGGTTAAGTTGCAGTTTTTCCTTCCTTAACTCGTTAACAACGTCCTCTAAGACCAGGATAGCATATGCTTTGTTCTCTTTAGTTTCTTTAATTGTTGAAATTTCATCAGCAAGAGCCTCTAGTTTTTGAGTAACACTCTGGGTATATTTCTCTAGCTTAGATTCAATTTCGTAAACTTCTTTTGGGTTTTTGTTGAAGTTTGTACTATTTAAATTACTTGTGTAGTTTTGATCATTTAGCTGTATCTTATCAGTGTTCAGGTTACAGTCTCGTGAGTTTGTATGCAAATTACTGTCTGTTGACTCCGAGATGAAATGCAAATTCCCGATCTTTGAGCTTTGATGTTTTGCAATGGCTTCGCCGCCTGTTTGTGATTCGAGTAATTCGCTATCGCTTTCCACAGTCTCTCTCGTTTCGGTCAAGGGTTCACCGTCCGCTATGTGTTCAGATGCTGCCTTATTAGTTAGATATATGTCTTTGACTAGGTCTTTGATTTTCAGAGAGGCTTCGCCTTCGAATGACAATACTAACGATTTCTTCGAGTATTTTATTGTTATTTCATCGCTGCTAAAGAGCTTAGTTGATCCACCAGGTGATGTCCAGTTGCCTCCTAAACCCAAGCGCAGCTCGGTAAAAGCTTTCAGATCTTCGAAGGAGCCATTCCATTTGATTTTTGATCCCTCGACTACGAGTTGATTGTTGATAGTCGGTTGAGTCGAAGATTCGCTTTGATTTATACTCGCCATGGTGTAGGCAAATTAAAACCGTAATATGTACTAAGCCAATTGTAGTTAGAAATTTTTTAATATGTAAATTTTTTAATATGTATTTCGTAATATGTACTAAGCCAATTGTAGTTAGAAATTTTTTAACAGCAGCAATTACTTGGCGAATTCACAATATTTTCAGCGGAGCCCAAAGTACACGTCTACACACGACCACGAGGTCACCTCACTAAGTATGCTGCTAAGGGTGAACCCAGAACACCTATGCTTAAAGCAGCATTCAACAAAATCATGAATAATGCTCCAAGCAATGATAATCCTCACAAAGCTATTAAAAAAGTTGTTATGAAAACTATTGGTGAAAGAGATTATGCTGCACAAGAAACAATGCACCATTTGCTCTCACTAAAGCTTCACAGCTCTAGCTTTAGAGTAATACCAGTTAGTTTAAATGGCTCTCGTAGGATTAACACATCAACACAAGAAGCAGACGTTTGCTCAAGCAATTCTCTTTTTGATGTCCATGCTAATCGTGCACAATACAATAATGCAACTGTTACAACCAAATTAAATTTTGTTCAGTTTGCAACACAGTTTAGGGTTGTGAATAACAAGCTAACCAGACTTCCAGATGATGTTATTCCTAGAATTTTTCCAAACTATTCATGTAATCCAAGAGGGTCAAATTTTCCTCAGTATTGCAAATATCAGTTGTTAAGATACAAGCCTTGGAAAATAACACAAGAAAATGCTTGGGATAATGAAGAATCATCAGATGAAAACATGATAAATAAATGGCAAGAATTTCTTCAGACAGCATATGCAAAGGAAAATGTCCCTGACTGGTTTGACAAACTTCAATCAGTTGTTCAAAGCCAACAAGAATCAGAAAATCTGAATGTTGATGAACAACCTGAAAATATTCGTGAAGAGTGGATGATCATATCTGATTTACATATGCCTTTCTCTGATTCATGCCAAACAAATGTAGAAATTGCTTATGAATGGAACAGTGATAGGGCTAATTATTCTGAGCAACACATTGGTGAAATGCCAGTGAGGATAAAAAATATGAGAGAGGGTAGTGATCAAGTCACACATGAAAACAATGAAAACATAGATGTTGATACCTTCAGTGAAATGCAAGAACTTGCATACAACATTGTCAGGTCTCACTTTAATGACATATCTTTAAATAGAACCCCACTTGGACTCATTATTAATGGAGTAGCAGGTACTGGTAAGAGTTACCTTATTAATGCTATCCGTACACTGCTTGGTCCCAAATGTGCAGTCACAGCGACAACTGGTAAAGCTGCCTTCAATATAAATGGGGTAACAGTGCACTCTCTTTTAAAGTTGCCAGTTGGCTCAAGGGGAAATAAGAATATTACAGGCCAGAATTTGATTAGATTACAAGAGTCTTTACATAACATTGATTATATTGTAATTGATGAATATTCAATGCTTGGTCAAGTAACATTTGGCTGGATAGATAGCCGATTAAAACAATCATCTGGATTACAAGATAAACTGCTTGGCGGCAAATCAGTTATCTTATGTGGAGATCCAGCTCAGCTGCCCCCTGTGGCAGATAAACCACTCTATCATGCAACACCAACCAATGGTATTGGTGAACAGGGTTATCTAACATATAAGATGTTTGATAATGTTGTAAAACTCAATGTTAACCAGCGTGTACAGGGACATAATGCAGAACAAACACGCTTTAGAGAATTGCTCTTGAGATTAAGAAAAGGAGAATCAAATTTAGATGACTGGAAACTGTTATTAACTAGACAGCCATCAAATGACAGTCATCTCCAATTCCAACAGTGGATGGATGATTACGTATTCATCCGTGACTATATTACAAAGCGTTTTAAGATACGTAAATTCATAACAACGCAGGCGTTTCTGGTCAAACGGAGGCATTTCTGGCCTTTCTATAAAGGTGGTTATCGGTGAAACCAGTGAAACATGATAGCAATCATACTACAAAATTGCAATTGATTATGATGGCGGATAAACAACAAGCCACCAAGCGCGCTGCGCAAAATTTAAATAATAGTAACCTTTGTACGCCCGCAAAACCAGTCAAATCTAAAATTCCAAAGTATAACACACCAGAGAAACGATTGGAAGATAATGAAGGGAAAAAAGAAGTGGACATGGGGCAAATACAGCAAATGTTCGAAAGCATGATGATGAAATTGGAGAAACTTGACTCCATTGAATTCGACGTGAAAGAAATAAAAAAATCTTTAGAATTCGCGCATGCTGAGATAGATGACCTGAAAAAGGAAAACGAGAAAATGAAAGACAACCAAGATAAAGCCAGGGAGAGAATAGAAAAACTGGAACATGACAACGTTACAATGCGCAACAAAATAGTTGACCTGCAAGCGAGATCGATTCTTCAACATACCAGAGCGTGATCAAGAAAATACCACTGATATTATCCACGAGCTAATTGAAACGAAAATGGGAATGACAGACGCAAAGGAAAAAGTAAAGATTGACTGGTCTCATCGAATTGGACGAAAAAGACAAGGAAATTGTAAACCGCGACCAATTGTAGTCAAATTCAACTTCCATCAAGACCGAGAACACGTGCGGTTAAATGCGAAAAAACTTAGAGGCACTAATATCGGTGTATCTGAACAATTTCCCGAAGAAATCGAAAAAATTAGAAAGACACTATATCCTGAGCTAAAAAAAGCTAAAGCAGAAGGAAAAAAAGCCAAAATTGTAAGAGATAAACTCATCATTGAAGGGCAAGTCTTTTATAATAATTCTTAATCATTTGAAACCTAATACTAGTGATAATAGTCTTTATAACAAAGGCAAAGGCCTACGTTATACAAATTAGCTCTCATAAATCACATACAATCCAGTTTAGGTATTATACAAATATTATACTATAAAGCCTTTAGATGACCACCCTTAACAGTGATCACAAGAAGAAATGTTCTTCTTGTTTCAAAAATATTAGTAAAACACAAACATGTATCCAATGTCTCACATGCAGTAATTGGTTTCATGCTGTGTCCACATGCACAGAATCTTTCAACACTAGCATAGACATGCATAATAACACAACCGATTTATGCCAACATTGCTTAGCTAATTCTTTACCTTTTCAAACACTTGATGATCTAAACTACGAATTTACTGTTTTAAATGGAAAAAACATTAATGAAGACGAAATGGATAGACTAAGGCATTTGAAATTCAACCCTTTCGACGTGAGTAATAATATTGCTCTATTTGAAAACAACAATATAAATCTTGACAAACTGTCAAATATAAACTGTGAATATTATTTACCAAATGACTTCAATGAACAAGTAAACAAAGCAAATCTAAATAAGAACTTTTCGATAATGCACTTAAACATTAGAAGCATAATAAATAAATTTGACTCTTTCAAACAATTAATATTATATTCAATGATTAAACCGATTCAGATAATAGGACTGACTGAAACCTGGATTAACGAAACTAACGAATATCTTTTTAAACTAAAAGATTATAATTTTGAAAATGTAAACAGGTCGGTTAAAACTGGAGGAGGAGTAGGTATGTATATTGCAAATGAATTAAAATACAAAACACGCACTGACCTAAACACAAGCATTGAAAATGTAATTGAATCTGTTTTTATTGAAATCGTAACAACTAATGGTAAAAATATAATTGTAGGTGTAATATACAGACCACCAAATAATAAAATCGACTCATTTGAAAATAAGATGAATGAAATACTTGGAAAAATAGATAAGGAAAACAAATTATGGTACCTTATGGGAGATTTTAATATTGACCTCTTAAAATCGGAAACTTGTAATTACACTGAAAGATTTCTAGAACAACTATTCACATCATCGTATATCCCACTTGTGCTAAGACCAACAAGAATAACTAATCACACAGCTACATTAATTGACAATATTTTCACTAACAATATAGAATCTATAGAATCCAGCATAAATGGGTTAATTTTTTTGCGATATTTCAGATCATTTACCAATATTTCATATACAGAACTCAAAAACATGCAATGTGAAAACATCAAAATTTGAATTTACCTATAAAAGGATTGTCAATGATGCCAATATTCAATCTTTTATTAACACAATTAAAAATATGTCATGGGAAAATGTACTTTCTATCAACAACACGACAGAGTCTTATAACAGATTTTTAAGCTAATTTTCAGCAGCTTATGATAAAACCTTTCCATTAAATAAGAAAATGACAAAAAGAAATATTGATAAAAATCGAAGCCCATGGATGACAATTTGCATCGCAAAATCAGTTAAGCAAAAAAATAAGCTATATAAAAAATACTTACACTACCCCACAGAGAAAAACAAAAAAACATATAAACAATACAAAAATAGATTAATCATGTAATAAAGACCGCAAAAAGAAATACTATGAAGAACAATTGATAAAATATAAACATGATACAAAGATTTTATGGAAAACACTAAATAAAATAATGAACAAACATAAGGAAATAGGTCGCTACAAAAGAATTTTATTGGGAATAGCCCTAGTGAGAAAATAACTGATCCAAACACAATAGCAAATACTTTCAATGAATATTTTGTAAATATTGGCCCAGAATTAGCAAAGAAAATTCCGAATAGTGAAAAATCCTTTGACAAATATCTTGTTAATAGCTGCAATAACAGTTTTTTTATTAGACCAATTACTAAATATGAACTAGAAACTGAGATTCATAATTTGAATTCAAAAAAGAGCCCAGGGTATGATGGTATAAGTCCACAAGTAATTAAGACAGTCGCCACAGAAATCTCGGAACCACTCTTACACATATTCAATTTGGCATTCCTAAATGGTACTATTCCTGATGGTTTAAAAAAAGCTCTAGTTACACCCATTTACAAAGCGAGTGAAAAAAATGAATTTAAGAATTATCGTCCCATTTCTGTTCTCACTTGTTTTTCTAAATTGTTGGAAAAGCTGGGGCCGGTTGTTCAAAAGCAGGTTAAATTTAACCCTGGGTTAGTGCTAAACCTGGGTTAAAATCCTTAATCCAAGGTTAGCTAAACCTGGGTTAAAACTGTGTTGTTCAAAGCAGGGTTAGCGGTAGGGTTAGTTAACCCAGGGTTAAAATATTTAACCTAAGATTAAATGTATTTTAAGGACTAAATTGGATATAAAACGTTTTCGATTGG